CAATGAGTGGAGCAAGTGAGTTGCATTTAACGTTTCCGTGTGGCGATGTATGCGCCCTCGGGCCATGCCCGGTAATCATGTCCATTAGTCACCTTTGACCTGCTAAGAATACAAAACGTGAATTAGACTGATGTATAATTACTCCTGAAGTTACGGTCACATGGATTGTGGTATATGTGAATGTCAGATGAATTGCGTACTACAGTGCACAAAAAGCATTTTGGGGTACATTAACGATTTATTACTCAGTTCAATCATTGTTAATTCTCGTTCGAACAAATACTGAATTTATTCTGCACACCTCATCCGTCTATTGCAGTATTTAACTCCATACAGTGAACGGCAGACACCTTGGGATATTATCAAAATATTAAAATTACAATTAAATATTAGAATTTTTTTTAAAAAAAGCTTGAGATCCGTATTCACATTTTTTAAAATAAATATGTTTACCAACCAAGGTGCAGCTTTCTGTCGTTCACTGATTACACAACTAAAATACTCATTTTGTTTTTACAAGCCGACCAATCCGGTGGTTGATTGGTAGGCAGTTTGCTTCAAAAATATCTATTCTCGAAAGTTAATGGCACACATCCGTCAACCAACTTTACTGATTGAAATATGCGAAAGCTAGGATATTACGAGGCGAAAGCGAATATTTTCACGCTGCTTGAATTGATTTGACGTTTAAATGCACAAGCCGTCTTTTATCTAAGATATACAGTGACTAATGTACTGTAAGTGAATGTTGGTATGCATACAAAACGTTATAGAACACATGTCATTCGGACATACAGTTCTCGAGAAAAAATGGCCGATCGGCGGCCAATTTTTTCTTTCGAGTATGAATTCCAGTTATCCGTGGCGGAAACAATGAGGCAGGTTTCCATTCGTTAATCATACACGCGTTGTCCACGAAGCAGTGCTGTAATGACGTCATTATCAAGCGGAAACCCTGCACCCGCCCTGGTTATTATAGTATTACATACAACTTGGAGTACATAAATCACGTGACGTGTTCACCTGATTCAGTTTTTCAATCAATCCACCATGTGTGCTGTAATCATGAACGTGTGTAACAACCAGTCTCATTGAACGTTTGATGGGAAATGTGTAAATGCGAGTATTTGTTCTTTTATTCCCATGTCTTGTGTTGCAATTTGACACCCCACGTGTTTATCTGCACCGCTGTTATATAGGACACCGCTACGAACTCTGTACACGGTACGTAAAAGATATTTGCCCAACAAACACACTAATGTGTTAACATACAACACCTTCTTGATAACAGAACAGTGCTATGACGGGAGGGGTCACGGCGTAATCTTGATGAAGGTACATGTACATCGCGCTCAAATAAAAAATAAAACTTTTATTTCATTGTACATATAATTCAAATTTATTTTAAAAATCGGTTCAGATTTTTATTATCGAGATTAATGAGAATCTAAATTCGATAATTTCGAAATATATTATGAAAACAGTCTGATTGCAATCTAATATATTGTACAGGCTGTATTTAATATATATATATATATTTTATTTTAATATTTTTTTATAATTTTTTTTATTATTATCATTACGAACGACAGGTAAATAAATAATAAATTAAAAATACACGAGAAATAAATAATTAAATCAATATTTAAACAAAAATTAGAACAAGCAGCCTATCGGCTGGGATAGCTCCGGTGTTAGCAATTCAAATTTCACAAGCATTCTGAACAAAACCTAGACGAGTCCACACGCCGGCGAGGTACCTACACAAACAAAAATAAAGCAATTGGGGGAGCTGTTTTCAAGACGAAGTAGGAAATACATATATGTACCTATATGTTCAACATCAAAGCAGTCAGACTTGTGTTTTTCAACAAGAAATTGAAAATACGTAACTTTTTACTAAAAATTACTAAATTATTCATCATAATTTGAGATTTATAGAAATGAATATATCTAAGAGAGCCTAGTCCACCCGAGTTACCTATCAACAGCAAAACAATCGAACTTCAACAAAAAGTCCAAATTATAACGTTTTGCCATAAATCAGTGACAAAAGTATTCATCAAGTTAGACGGAGAATGAAAAATATAACCACGAAATGAACAAATCTGAGAGTGGTCCACCTGAGGTACCTATATGTATAATATCAAAGCAATCGAACTTGCAGTTTTCAAATTGGCTAGCCATTCAGCTGCACATTGTAACCTTTGAGCGCCAAAGTCATTGAACTTTCGTGACCTTTCACCAACTTGAAAATGTCATACATGTCGTATAATCAAAACCAGAGAAAGTGTGCCCATTTCATTCAAAATAATACATAAAAATAAATAATACGTAAACATAAATATTGACAGAAAAAATGATGGCATACAGGAATGCTTGGCAACATTCGAAAAATAGTGGGGTGGTGCATAGTAGAGAATTTCAGTGTAATCGCGTGGTGGACCTCCCCCACCCCGACATGTCACGTGATGACGTATCGAATCAGTGTCACGCAATTTTTGACAACCAAAGGATACGCAATGTGGTCCGTGCGTTTGTTATTAGAGGGGGGGGGCAATAAGCTTATATTTGACGAAAATTTATGTAAGCACTCCCGATTTGAAGATGATCCCCATTTCGAGGCAAAAGTCGCTTGCTGATCATACACATCGTTGACTGTGATTTCTTGCCGCCTTTGTCCGCCATCATCACGATGATGCTCTCCCGTCACGAATCAATGTGATTACACGAATGTTTTTTTTTTCTGTTTGTACGTTGCATGTTTTTACCCGCTGAAAGTGAATGCAACAGCTGAGGTATGTTCTATTAATACACGACGGAATAGCATATCCATACCGTCATCGTGTTATATCAAGGTCAGAGCAAAGCAGGCAGCAAACCGCATAACCCGGATACGTGTCCGTAATTAAGATCGGTGCCCACTGCAGGTGGCGGTGGCGGAAAAAAGGCGCGCGGGGGAGGGGTCTGATACACAATGCAGAGATCTAATGAACCACTGGCATAGATTAAAATCGTCCGAAAATAAAAAAAAATGAAACTTGTTTTTTTTTTTTGGGGGGGGGGGTAAATTTGATGGCGGTTTGTATTCAAAATATTGTGAGTTTTAATATGTATTGAATTATAAACATGGGAAATGCGGCCATTCATTGATCATTGGAGACTCATATCCTTCGGGTTAATGTTATACGAATGATGTTACATAAATATTTTTTTTTTTAAATTATTAACACGGATTTATTGTTTTAAATATACGCGCGTTTAAATTGTTTCCTATAAGGTGGTAGACAAATGAATGTTACTTAATAAACTGATCACGTGCAAAAAACGTGTATTATGTACAGTTCAAAAACAAATACTTTGTGTGTTCTTGTTTGCTTTAGTGGTTTCTATGACAATATACTTTAGGTTTACACTAGCATTACAACACGCAAGATAAAACACAAGACGCGGTTTCGGAAATGAGCGGTAAACACAAATATAACGCACTGACAGTCACGTACCCTGATTAGCGAATCAGAAGCGGTTTAACATCGCAGCAGACAGAAACACGTGTTGTACAGTAATTCCAATACCGCCGCATCATATCAGCTGTTCACGTAGACTTTAAATATCATCATTAATTTACATAACAATAACTTGTTATAATGAGCCAGAACTGGCCTCAGTTAACGACCATGTTCTGTTGTTACCGCGGGACTTTGATAGGTAGAGTTTAAAAGCAAGGCGTGTAAAGTATACCAATCGTCGGTACCAATAAATGGATTGACAACATCGCGCGAAAATTCCAAAATTCTTTTGCAAAAAAATAAATAAATAAACAGTGAAACGTTATTGCTTAAATAAATAATCACGCGTCTATGCTCAGTGTTTTTTTCGGTGCGAAATGATGTAGTGTATTGTTGATTTATATCAAATGAAGTCCATTTTAATGAACTACACATGATACAATGCTATGAACATGCCCACTCACGTCCAATTTCATGGATGGCCTCAATTTCTGCAAAGGATAACCAGCCTTCATATTATAGCTATTGACGAACGTCAAAAGGCTTTATTGTTACGTAACTGGAGATTGGGCGACAGATAATTCGCTAGTGTCTCTGAAAAATATATCTGAATAATAATAATAAAACGAATGTTGCAAAGCCTCACAAAATTTGTTCAGAATGCGGAGTCGTCATGGTGGGACTAATATTATCTTATGACGTAATATGGTTGTGCCATACATTAATACATGGTGTAAACATTCAAGTCGTTGAAATGTGATGTATTCAGTTAAAGTATTGATCGACGAGAGAGAACTTGCATAACTAAAAACGTTTAGCAATTTTGTGCACATGCGACTATGCTCGACATACTTGCATTTGAAGCGCCTCGAAACTGCTAACCCTTCGTTGATTGGTCGAGACTTTGTAATGAGGTAATTCACACGGGTTACGATTGGCGTAGCTCAGCGATAGGGGCGTGCGTTTCCAAGTACCAATCAAAATTACCGTTATAAACGTATCCGAGGTCCTTTCATTAGCTGTATTCGCTGTTCTATGGTTTATGCGGTTCCCAGCTGGGATATTGCAGGCTGTTTGGTTGTTCGACGATTTCTATTTCTGTCAGGACTGTTAATTGTTACATCGTTGTCTTCAATTGCAGATCGGTGGACCGGCCAGTGGCGACTGGCATATTTAGACAGCATTATACCAACACCGGGGGCTCTAGGACAAATAACTGCGACAAGTGGAGGCCATCGTCAACGGAGTATTGCCCGTAGAAGGCATAGCGCGTATAGGCTACATTGAAGGAGCGGCCATATTCAATATTGCCAGCATGTTTAGCGGCTGAAAATGACGTTTCTCGATTGTCTGGAACTATGAATTTTGAATGAAACATCGAGTTAATATTGGACGACAATTCTGTTGATTGACTTGATAATCGGTGCTAAATTTCCACCCTAAACAGTCAATGGAAAACCTAATCTCTCGTGTGCCATAGTGATCATCAGGATGGATTATTTCGGAGATCGGGAGGAGAGAGAGCATAACAAATCCATCGTCCGCCTGTTGGAGGAACGACGATCACGCCCCGGCTCACCGGCACGGACACCAAATCCGCCACTAGAGCCCCTGGACCTAGCTGACCGCGCCGTTCTCCGTATAGCAGGTAAGTTTGGTATTATGTGTACATGCTATCTTTTAATGTGTACATGTCTGTCAGGGAGGTGATACTGACAACACACTGGGTCTATTGAGTAGTCCCATTTCATTGTCCGATTCAGGTCATATGATCACCTTTGATTCCCTATTTTAATGTAGATTCAGCCTATTGTGGGCGCTGTTTAGTGACAGCCAGACAACGGTGGACCGGAGGTGATCGCGGATAGCCAGGCCCACATTGCTTTTTGGTGTCTTTCACGCCTCCAGTGGTTTGGCTGCCTAATAATAGGGGGCCAATCTGCATATAAAAGAAGAAGGCCTTCACTTTAGATGTGGTGACTCATCGAGATCTAGGCAGGTACTCAATTCGACGACGACGCGCCACTCGTGCTGCCAGCCCTGAGTGTGGTATCGATCGCCGAAATGGCCGCAGTTGTGTAGCAGTGTGGATCTTTTGAGCCCACCTGTCTGCAACCTGTGACGATCTCGCCCAGACTAGGGCCGATTAGGATTGACAGTTCACTCGCGGACAGCATCAGCCGAAATCCAGTATTTTCTTATCGAACACGTTACCCCACGCGTTCCGCTACAGTTTATTACCGCACCATCTCTGTCGGTATATATAGTCTAGTCACCTTCACAGCGATCGCACCGAACTCAATTTAGCAAACAACTAGTTACTCTTGTTTATAATACAATATGGCATCGGGCAAAAATCCGGCTGATGTCGAACCTGACTTCAACCCTGCCGAATATTACGAGCAGAACCTAACCAGATACAAGGGTGTGTATTTTGTTAAATGTCAATCACAATTTTAGTTCTTCCTACACGTTGTTCAAATTTCGGAACTCAGTCCCCACCTTCCAAGGTCAACACCAAGTCAGCAACATACCTTTGACTCTATTTATATTTGCACAGTTTAATATTGTTGATTTTTTTTTTATATGCAACCAGTTTATAATACGCCATTTGATGTTTGCGTTGAAATTGATATTATTTATTTGCAACCACCTTTGTTATATTTCTAGATGAGCGTGATGAGATCCAGAAGAAGACGTTCACAAAATGGGTGAACAAACATATAATCAAGGTAGGGTTATGTTACTCTAATGTTATTACAGTTCCACCAATACATAGATGTTGCAAGTTGCTTTATCCACAGTGCTAACCTGAAAACCTAAGTCATTGTAAAATGTAAAACCTTATCGTAGACAACCGAGTGTTGTCATTCTGGAGTTCAATTGTTTATCTGCAAGTCTTGCGATCTACTCTTAGTCAGAGTGGGAAATCGCCCCCCCCCCCATTGCATACCGATAGATAAAAGCCCAAGAATAGAACCGTCATTCGTGGTGTAAATACTAATGAGGTATCCATTCACTATGATTGTAAAGAGATTTTTAATTCTCTTGTCAAATGAATGGGCATCCACTGTGGAGGTGTAGGCGACAGTCATCCAAATTAATACTTTTATATAAATTTGCTGAAAACTTGTGAAAGTTTTTATAATGTGTAAGTCCAAATGGCTCAGAAGCTTCACCTGTACGGCATGTATGTTTATATTTTTGAAGCCCTGATGCTAATGGTATGCAAATCATGAAAAGCTCGAGGTCATGCCCCTTTTCATGCAGCCTCTGCAGGGTATATATACAGATTTGAGCGTTCCATTTCACTGTATTTCACTCAAACTTAGTAATCGTTCATTTGATTTAAGAATAATACAAAGGAATTGAAATGTACAAGTGATGTGTTTACAATTTTGGTCAGGCCTTTAAATTTTATTTACAATACTTGAGACAATGCACTTTTTTTTTTTTTTATGATGTGCAGTTTACACTGGCAATAAAATATACAGTGATACAGTATTGCTGGTTTAACAGGCAATGCAGTAAGAAACTTTGTTTTTCAGAATTGAGGAACTAAACTTTTTATCATGTGAACAAAATATGACGTTTCACATGTAAATGAAAGTGTTTCATTCATGGAAATTACTTCTTTTCGGACGATTCTGTACCATGAGTAAATTTTAATGACTTTGTATATCCACTGCTTGCATTTCTGTTTGCAATACTTAAGTTTTGATCTTTTCAAACCCTGGTTTGGGAATGTAGTGAGCACCCCAATGGTGCTATTGATAAAATGTACAACAAGAAAGAATAAAATTGCAACACTAATTGATATCTGACTAAACATGGGAATAGCATGATTGTATTTTTGACACAATGAGTACCAGTATATGAAAGGTCAACTTACCCCAGATGTAAGGTTGTGATGAATAATGTATCCATTTTATTGAAATGAAATGTAAATAGCTTGAATGAAATAGGTAACGTCATTGGTTAACTCGTGGCCTGGAACAGTTCACTGGCATTCATTAGAGAGCTAAAACTCTGAATGGCACCATTTTTCTCACTTTCTTAATGCCTTTTATATCATAATCACCCACTTCCCACAGGTTTTGATTAAAATTTTTGAAAAAATATGGAAAACTTTATGCAAGACTATTCTGCGAAAAGTTACAAAAAATGACTTTTTAGTTGAAAATGGCCGACACCCAGGGATTGATTGTCATTCTTCATGTACCTACGAGGCAGTGCCAAAAAAAATGCCACTGTGCATGATAATAAAAGATACAGACTAAGCGTTGTCGCGAAGAATACACACTCCGCTTTTAACTCTGGCTTATTAAACCCCATAAAAACCACCCAGAACATTAATCTCATTCAGAAAAATATCACAGAATCTAACAGTTGGTTTGTAAATTTTCCACTGGCCCAATTAGAATTCATTTTTCAATATCTGGTTAAACATGCATTCACATACCCTGTACTCAGTGAGTGTTTTCCGGCCGTCCATTCATCAAGATGATTCATTCATGTCTGTGTAATTGGATACGTCTGAACTCAGTGTGCAATGAGCAATATTGTAACTGCAATTATTTCAACTAAACTTCACCTTCAGATGAATCAGTTTGAGTCACAATTATTTCAACTTTGTATATTTTTATTCGTTTGACTTCTGGTTTAAAATAAAGGTATAGATCTTTCTATCACTGGAGCCGAACCCTCATAAACAGGTGTGATTATACCTTCAACTGTGTGGGGGTTTATAATCAAAGGTAAATGTAATGGATAATATAATTATTCGGCATCAACAGTTTAATCAAGTGTACTTTAAATATACTTTAATTGAGATTTGAAATAATCTGATTGATCCCACCACTGTACAGTGAAAACATTTTTTTTTTTTTCGAATAAACCTGCGTACGTGTCTGTGTCATTCATATTAGAGGCCGGCTAATGACCTAATGGTTAACTAAATAACCTATCCGTGTGTGGGAGTGTATTTGTGATGTCGTTACACCCTGTATGCCTCCATATCAGAGTGTTTTCATTGTTTAATGTATGTAAAAAAATGTCTGTGTCCTGTTTTGAAATTGTTAGCAGGGATTTTGTTACAATGAGGTATATTATATACCAGTATAGTTCCAACGAAAAATGTTTATTCTAATTTTATAATATTTACATTCCATGATGTATAATATGATAACTTGTCCTCCACGTGTTCTAGTCAAAATAGTGGCCATTTTAGGTCAAAGGTCGAAATAGAATATTTGGTTATTTATGTTCTATTGTTGATACCAGTAGCATATTAATTAGATTTTGCTCTTGATTAGTTATCTATATAATTGGGAGTGGCTTATTAGGGTGTGGGTCATGGCCAATAAATGACTAGCATTTCAGCACTAGCCTATCAGGTGAATTTATTTGACGTGCAAAAATAAAGTTTCATTCTGAATAATAACTTTCACATTCATTTGTGATAATTTGTGATTGCCTATCAAAAAGTCATTCATGATTTCTGAAAATTCGTGATTAAAAAAATAATTACTAGCATCCTCACCAAAATTTTATCTATTACCGGTACTATGTATTTTTGTATATTTTTTCATAGAATAAACATAATTTCTTATTGCCTACTGGTCAAAATATTGGGGACCCCCCCCCCTCCCCAAATATGAGATTTCTATAATGTTTATGAGAGGTACCGTAAAATCTGTACTAGAAGCCGCATCCCTTATAGAAGTCGCACACATACTTTTTGAATAGTTGAGAACCAAAAATTCATCATTTCTCATATGTGTAGATGCTCCAATAGAAGATGCATCCCCTCTATTGCATTGTACAATTTTAATAGAAGCCGCGGTTTCTAATACAGATTTTACAGTAATAGAGGAGACATGATTGTCGAACGTGGTATGGCAAGCAACATTTTCAAAGCTACTGCTTTTCGGTAGTTAATTGTACTCATGAATAATTAATTAGTGATGTCATTTTAAACCAGTTAATGGCCAGCTAGTGTCTTATCTATGGGTAAACCTTAAACTTCGTGCCTCTATGTCGTAACATGGGTGCTGAACAACGGCTAGAAATTAAATTTTTTTTTTCAACTGATCAACCAATCTAGCTCGACGTTATCAGTGATTGGTTCACTGGATTACTCATAGCAATCCTACCTAGACTACTTTCTGTTCCCACACACATTGACGTCAAATGCCCGCCTACCAATATCTTTTATGACTCGAATTGTTATTGTCACATTGTGCGTACCATTGTAGATGAGGAGTTGCTTCCTTGCACACTAACAATAGAACCATATAATCAGCTCAAACCCTGGATTCAGTTTACAAATTCATGCCAATCAACAAAAAAAAGTTCAAAGGCACCAAACTTTTTGTAATTATGTTAAATTACTTTTGACTTTTTTTTTCAGCACTGAATAGAATTGTTCAATTTTGCTTCAGTTATTGTTAGTTGAAATGTACAGTGTAGGTTATTGGCCAGGAGATGATAGTGATATGATTGTATGTTACTTGTTAACTCCAGTGATAATGTTACAGTATGTAAATGAGCATGAAGGTCTTTCTAGATTAAATCTGAAACTTTTTAACTTTTCAGCTGAGTGTAACTCTCCTAGATGGTTGCAGTTTTAGGTAATCCTTTGCAGCAAAAAAACCTCATAATCTTAAGTTTAAAAAACTTAATTGATAACTAGTTGTTTCCATGCTCCAATTTTCCTTATCACAGAATCTTACCTCTACACCATCTTTAAGTCAGGGCTGTAATTATATTAGTTATCTCTTTGAGCACTATAATTTTCCCGCCAAAATTTTTGTGCAAAATTTTGCACACTTTTCTGAATTTTTCTACAATTTTTGGAGCAGGGTCAAAAAATTTGTCCCATCAAGAGTCTGAATTTTTGTAATTAAGGAATTAAATTACACATATAGAATGAGTAGCCTTACAGATTATTACAATCCAAGCTGTAAACACTGAGCGGACCCCTGTTTATTGTGTGGCCTATCCTACATCATAAACTTTTATCATATTGAACCAAAGTTGAACTTTGGAGTTATTTGATGTGAAGATAACCCTCAATTAGTACTATGAGAGATCAGTTCCCTTAAATCACAATGTTCATTGCATGACTTCGTTTCTAAAGCAGGAATTCTGCTGGCTTCTTTTGAGAAGTGAGTTTTCGAATACAAGACGATTGAGACGTAATGACAATTCGTTGTATTGCTATCAAAATTGAGACCGGTTTTAGTTAGCTAGTTATAGCTATGTTGAAGGATTATGGCTAGACTAGTCTGCAATTTGAGAGAAACCACAGGAAGTTAGTTTTCAGGATGTAGTTCCAACAAAACAAGCTAAGGCTCCAGTTTAAAAATGAAAAACAAAAATGTAGATTTTCATGACAATTAAAAAAATCTTAAATAAGAAAAAGTTTGCATTACAATATCTTAGGACCAAAAACAATTTGTTTAAATTCAAATGACAATCAGCATGATTCTGCATATATTTGCATATGATTTGCATATCATTACTTGAGCAAAGTTTGCAACTATACATGTGCAATACTGGAAATGCTGGAAATTTATAAGCATTTGTCAATAAAAGAAATTCAGGATTATTTGAACAATGCGTTGTTGTATTTCTGAGCATATGTGCAGGTCTTCCAGCACATGGAAGTATTTTCCCTGTCTGGCACTGGACTTGTGTAAACAAACACATCATAGCAAGTGAGAACCAA